CGTGATATGTAAACGAGGAGAAGAGGGTAGAAAGAGAGAGTGGCCAGAGAGAGCAGAGGGAGAGGAGAGTCGAAGACTCTCCGCTTCTCCTTTCGGCAAATGGCCATGGACTTCGGAAGAGACAAATCTCCGACGGTGCATTTCCTGTCACTCTCCCAGTGACAAGATACCCCGATGGAGCTATATCTTCCTACACTTTGTATGTGCACTCATGGTTGGTTATACTCCCGACAGGTGTCCTCCACATGTTCGACTTTTTTTTTCCTAGTTAGGAGCGTATGAATCGAAAACGTTGTTTGTTGTCGTTGATACAACTTGTAATGGTGTCTCTGCACCCCTGCATTAAATATTCGTCGCGTGGGTGAAACATTGCTCCAGGTTGCAGACCTGAAGGAGACCCACACACACACTAAAAATTGGGGTCTTGTCGAATCCCATCGCGAACACATTCCTGCGCTTCAAGTGAGCATGCGCGGAGACGGGAAAAATTGCAAGGCTCCAAATTTGCGGAACCCAAGCGTGCCTCAGAGTTCCCGTCAACACCCAACGTAGTATTGGGTTGCAAGAACAAGTCTTGCAAATAGGAAAAAACTAAACGATATGCATGTCCGCAGATTGCCGGCACGGCAGGTTACCCGCAAGACAGCAATATCTTCGGCGTTCTTCCACCGTATTTTTTCGTTGATACTCCTTTGTTGCCGCAAGGCATCCTCTCAAAGTGTTGTTGCCAACCAAACAACCCACACGTCTCTGCGGAGGCGCACGTATTATCCTAAAAAAACATGATGCAACGAATAGACGAAGACGTTGACTCAACCATGCCCAACTATAAAAATGAAAACTCCCCCCCCCCCTGGCCCAAAAAAAAATAGAAGGCTACGACCCTCGCAGCAAGCAAGCCCTGCAGCAGGGAGAGAAAAACAAAAAACGCGCCCTCGTGTTCGTTGAATACAGGCACAGCAACTTGCCCGTGAACCACAACAGTCTCGGCGTTCTTCCACCGTATTTTTTCGTTGATACTCCTTTGTTGCCGCAAGGCATCCTCTCAAAGTGTTGTTGCCAACCAAACAACCCACACGTCTCTGCGGAGGCGCACGTATTATCCTAAAAAAACATGATGCAACGAATAGACGAAGACGTTGACTCAACCATGCCCAACTATAAAAATGAAAACTCCCCCCCCCCCTGGCCCAAAAAAAAATAGAAGGCTACGACCCTCGCAGCAAGCAAGCCCTGCAGCAGGGAGAGAAAAACAAAAAACGCGCCCTCGTGTTCGTTGAATACAGGCACAGCAACTTGCCCGTGAACCACAACAGTCTCGGCGTTCTTCCACCGTATTTTTTCGTTGATACTCCTTTGTTGCCGCAAGGCATCCTCTCAAAGTGTTGTTGCAAACCAAACAACCCACACGTCTCTGCGGAGGCGCACGTATCCTCAATGCTGCGACGAAACGAAGACGTTGGCTCAACCATGCCCAACGATGAAAATAAAACTACCCCCCGCCCCCCCCCCGTCACGCATGCATAAAATTCGACGATTGCACGGTAACACTTTTCCAGGAGTGCATAGACTATGGGTGTTATTCGTCGCCAAACATTTCCTTCTCGATGCCGGCCAACATTTTGCGCAGGAATCTAACTCTCGTCTGATAACCCTCTTCTTTTTCTTTCTTCTCCTCCACAATTTTCTTCGAGAGTTCGGCGTGGGACTCGGTCATTTCCTTGTGGAGGGCGAGGCCAGAAGCTTTGCTGTCGTGTTCAGCAGTCTTGCAAGCGTGTTCCTCTGTTTTTTTGGACCACTCTAATTTTTTCGATCCGCCAACCTTTCCCAACAGTGGCTCAATATCGGCGAGTGCGGTTTTTACGGCAGGGGCGTTGTTGTTCTTGGTGTGGGGTTATCACGTCTGTTGTGGGAGTCCTCGGGTCTCTCGCCTAGTCGGGACCGGTGTGTGTACGTCGAGCCGTGGCGCTTTCCGTAAATTTTGAAAAAATACGCGCCTTCGCGCCTTCTGCCGATAAGAACCACCGGAACCCTAGTTACGGTTCCGTAAAAAAGTTACTATTCTTCGGTGAAAAAAGTTACGTATTTTTCGGCCTGATAATAATACCCCTAAAGCCGCCTTCCACGAGGCTTCCCCGGATCGTTGACCGTGACTTTCGTCCCAGAGGGATGCGAGGGCGTGCCCTCGCGCACCTCTCTCTCACTGTTCACTTTTGTTCCCATCTCATATCTTGAGATTCTGTACTGAGAATCACATTTTGTCCGGTGATCGTAAACACCGCCTCATATCTGTGACCGTTGCCTGAGTGGAACGCCTGTGGATAGTCTATAGAGTTGGAGATTCGCACCTCCCTGCGGTGTATTTGAGTTCAAACCCTTGTTTGTCCGGATTTTTTTTCGCGTAGACTCTTGGTCGGGTGGATGCTGATTAACCTTCGCCGGGCAAGGTCTTAAATTGTTTGGTGTGGTCTCAGATTCAACAAACACATTACATATAGTCTCTCCGACCTCCCGTGCAGGTTTGTTTGGAGGGAAAACTCGTTTTGTTTCTACATAGACTTCAGCAGTGAGAGGTACATGGGCTTCAACGAGGTTTCTTTTCTGTCTCCTCTCGTGGAGTAGACTAAGTTCCATCCAACGAGCGGGCGGCGACACAATACAAGTAGTCCCAGGTCTTCTCCGCTACATTACAGGAAAAAGGCGTAACCTGCCCGCATCGAGGGATGCGTGATTATGTACGATCCCTACCACACCATACTCGAGACGCCGCAAGATTTTGACGGTAGGGAAGTGGTAACTCGAGATCATCGGCATTCGAGACCGGGTCCCCCAAGGAACAAGGGTGGAGGTATTGAAATGAAAACTGCTTCAGAATGTCAGCAAGTGGTGAATTCGGTGACTTCTCGGGTGGTTCTCTGCCTCAACTCGTTGTATGGCAGTTCTTCGCGTGCCCCGCTCTTGTCTGGTACTTACTATCGTGCGACGGGGCTTTGACGTTCGCGACGGTTCGACAGCAAACAACTTCCCAATTCCTCCTCTGGTTCCCGTCGGATGAAAGGAAAGGCATGCACCGTTTCAATTCACAGTTACTGAAAAAAAAAAACAGCACAAGAAGGAACCGCAACGATAACAGCGTCTTCATTCCAGGAACTCGTTGGACGACAGTCAACTTGCCCAAACTGGTTTCGCTTGCTCTCTACAATAAACACGAATAAATCAAGGCCTTCCAGAATCATCGAAGGTGCTTGTAGACATGTACAACGATCTTCCACCGGTCCGTTCGTACTTTCAAGCTCTCACCCTCGCCACACCGGATCGCTGGGACAAATAACTTGACACAGCACCGTGCCGAGACGACACGAAATTCTCCAACGCTACTACCGCCGTACCGGCAGCCCGACGGCCAATTTCCATTCCCTTCTACACGCTGTGCACGACAGGCATGGCACAACTCTTGACACCAAATGCCAAGTTTGTGCAGCGCTGGGTGATCGGTCGAAAGAACGAACCAACCTACTCTGCACCTATATCGCACAGCTCTTACTGGGAGCTATAGCTGGTGCCCTTCTCCTCGGGTGTCGTGTCCACATGACGTCGGAAATGCACCGCCAGGTAGAACTTGCATACAACAGGCGAAACCGCGAGGTCGTGCGCGGAGCAGAAAATCTGCAACAGTTGTTCCTCGCCGCCACCCCTTCCAATAACAATGCAACAACGGGCTCTGTAGTATAGCACAACACTTGCTTCGACTTTCCTCTCGCACCAAACAACAGCAGTAACAGCTACCTCCCGGCACGTGCTCACTTCGCGGGTCAGACAGACCAGGACATCCAAGGCAACGTCTACGAGTCGAACAAACCAGCAGAGGGGGGCCAAAGAAGGGATCCGTCAAAACGGAAAAAACAAAACCAAAATCGTTACATAATCAGGGTCCGGATCGGCGGTCGGGGTCTCAAAAAAAAGAACCTTAGACGCCCAAAGGGTCACGGGTCGAGTCGGGTCGGGTCAAGTCATTCCATCTGTCGTGTGTCGTTCTCAGGGTCGTTCTCTGGGGCACTCATTATTTATTCGGGTCGGGACAGATCACACTTTTGGAATCTCTCATGGGTCAGGGCCTCCACAGACTCGAGAACGGGGTAGCCAGGAAGTAACATTTCAACCAACAGTTCGAGTTCGTGAAGCAACAGCTCCTGTCAGTCGTCGTGTGTCCCTCAACCCACCCCTAACAAGCCTGGTAATCTCACAAATCGGGTGTCTCTCTTTATCGTCGTCACGACGGTGTTGCATCCTTCCTCATCAGCCGAAAAATCCCAGAGGGTCGGGTCGCGGGACAGGTCACCAAGAACGAGCAAATGAACGGTGGTGCCAGATAGACGATGAACGCCATGTGTGTACCCCCCTCGCACTGTGTTGAGCAAAACACACACGTGGATACATATCAACACAAGTGCTCCACGTGGCCAACAACGACAGAAGCAGAGTCCTGTCGGGGAACAGGAAACAGGGAGACTCTTTTATCACTCAGCTCCCGCTTCTTGGCACCCTCAACTGCCTTACCTCAAATGCGTACGAGCTTTGCGCAATGCCGCTCCGATAGTTAACGCTATGACCAAACCGCTTCATGATGGAACAGGAAGAAAGTATTTTGCTGGGTGAAGGCAAGTCTTCATCAGCTGTGCAACACACAAGCGTTCACCGCAGCAAAATACGATATAGCGAAAGACAAAAACCCACACCCACAAACAACGATATCGTTTTGAAGACGACGAATACAACTGCTCCAACAAGAAAGACTGATACATTCAACTCCGTAAAACAACAGAACTCACACCCACTTGCGCATCAACCCTCTTGAACCTCTCATTCGAATCCTCCCTCCTGCCCACCGGTCCTTGAAATCGACCAAGTCTGCGCAATCCAAACGTAAGCCATAATCAATCAAACGACTTCTTGGTGCCCTGGAAGGACTGGATCCCCTGCTTCGCGCGGGCGTTGAACCCGCCGCCTCCACCCCCACCCCTACCACCACCTCTTCCCCCGCCCCGTCCTCCCCCACGCCCGCCGCCCCTGCCGCCGCCCCTGCCGCCGCCCCTGCCACCACCGCCGCCACCGAACGAGTCGTCGCGGGGTGCCCGGGGTGCAGCGTAGTCAACCTGAGACACATGCGGGAAATGCGGAAGGAGAGGTTTTGCGGTGTCGTTCTCGAGAGAAAGTCTGGAAAACACCAAGAGATGAGAGACATTGCATCAACTCAACACAGCTTTTTCAGAGCGAAACAGAGCAGGAGGTGTATGAACACAACCGTCTGGGGACAACCAATGCACTCTACGACAAATCGCCTCAATAATCATGATGGTGGAGGAACGCGTGTACATTCGCGACGCATGAGGAACCGCAACCTTTCCCGCCGCAGACAACGAAAACGACCATCAAACCATGAATTACACAGGAACAACCCAAATACGCACTCGACGGCTCCCCACTGCAACACTTACGCGAATGGGTCGGCCCATGACGTCGCTGTTCGCGAGCTTCATGGCGGCATCAACGTGGTCTCCATCGTAGAACTCCACGTGCCCGAATCCCCTGAACTCTCCCGTCTCCCTGTCCTCGGCGAAGCGGACGCTCTTGATGTCGCCGCACTCGCCGAACGTCTGGCGGATGGTGTCCTGCCAAAAAGAGGCGAAATCACCACGACAACACGAGACAAGATGATGTCAAACACCATGAGACCAGACAATTGATTTGGAACGTGCCACACACAGCCCGTGTTGTTATCGACTCTTTCATGCCCACACAGCTTGCGCGTTGTCCTTCTCGTCGTTTCTTTCGTCCTCCGTTGGTTCCGTCACATCTACAAGGCGAGAGCATCACAACGACGAGGAACAAGAACAAAAGGCACTACAACACATCAATATCGAGACAACGAAGCCTCGTGCCTCTTTCCTCACATCGATAGAACCCAATGTCGCTCACAAGTAGGCACCTGCCCAAGAAATAGGCACGGAACGCTACAGGCTTCCATCACACGACATCAATCGAGAGCAAAAAAAAAGCGTACCTCGTCGATGGACCACGAGAGGTTCCCGATGAACACCGTCGTGCAGCCGGCCGGCTTAACCTTAGGCTCCCCGTTGCGCGCGTGGTCGGGCTTCTCGAACGACATCATGATCTTGAGCCACCGGCCCCCAAGCTCTTGCCCGTCGAGCTCGATGGCCTTCGTCGCCGCGGCGGCGCTGTCGAAGGTCACGTACGCGGTGCCGCTCGAGCGCCCGTCGGGGTTTTTGGGCTGCTCCACGGTCACGATGTTGCCGCAGGACTTGAAGAAGTCCTTCACGTCGTCGTCAGGGGTGTCCCACGGCAGGCCACGGAGGTAGATTTTGCTGTTCTCGCTCTTCGCCTGTTTTTTTTGTTTTGCGTCGGGATCGTGCACGCGCGTGCATGTACAGGCGTAGAAGGAACGTGCGGAGGGTCGTCGTTTGTTCATGTGCTAGGAAGGCATGTCTTGTTTGACATTCCCGGCCTGACGTAACACGTGGTGAATGCTTGCTCATGGTCTCGTTTCCCAAGAAACTAAGAGCGAATTATATAATCTAGCCTGTTACATCCTTCGGCGCGACGCTCCCACGACACCATACACTTTAATGCACTTCAAGTGCGGTATAGACAGCGGTGGGGAGAGTCGGCCGGCAACCATGTACGAGGTACGAGAGAAGACATGCTCGTGTATGCATACTACGTATGCATACTACGCATCAAGTGCGAAAGAGAAAGGGGTTGTGAGACCAACTCCGGTCGACAGACAAATATGTACGAGCTAGGGCATGCTCGTGTATGCACATGTTCATCATGTGCCTTACCTTCTTGGCGTCTCCCTCTTCCGCGTCTTCGGCCTTTCTCTTCTTGCTCGGCTTCTCCTCCTCCTCCTCCTCCTCCTGGGGTTGTCGCGGAGGTATTTCGGCGATAAGAAAAGGAATAGCCGGGTTTTCACCTACTCACCCGGACGTTTACTTCGTACCAGAATACCTAGGGCGGCAGTTATTTTCAAGACCAGATGAGGAACACAAGTGTTGCCATGAAAGGGAAGTTTTCGGCAGAACGACGGCACAAGCCAAACGAGAGACACGCCAAGGCTAGGCTATCACAAAGTTCGACGCGTTCAGCTTCTTGCAAGGGCGGTCCTCATACGAAAGATGGTGACCAGGTGTTTTCTCCACATGTTCGCCTTCTGGAGTGGTGCATAGATCTGTAATCAGGGGACACACCGACAGCACTCGCAAAGAACGAAAAACACGGCGATGGCACAAAGAGAAACAACCCGGTTATCTCACACGCACCACGGGAGAAAAAATTGTGTCACCAAACCAACTCACGGCAGAAACGCCTTTCTTGCTAAAGCGTGCTGTTGTACGAAAAAATGTCAGCCTATAAAAGTCTTCAACCAATCCCCTTCAACTGCTGTGGTTATCTGTTAGGGTATTGTCTTTGCATGCATGTTGTGTAACCAAAAATCCAGATGAGCAATGGCATGTCTGGTCATTGTCCCGGGTGGGTAGAGGAGTCCTCATACGTAGCGATTCCTTGCCACACGCGTGCGCGTCTGCCGCAAGGCGGCAGCGACGCGGGTTCGGGTTAGGTATGTTGATATCACAGGACGTCTACAACCTCCGGGACATGGCCATCAACACAGGAAGGGGGAGGGAGGGCCAAAATCACGACGACTGACCCAAGAATCGCCATTAACGAAGGAAAGTCGTCAAAGAGACTGAACTTTTGCGCACGTTCCGTTTGTCGGCACGGGACGGGCTGCCGGAAGTCTTCTGTCAGCGTCGTGTGCCCTCGTCTGCTCTCTGTTGTGGGCTTCAACGTAAAAAGAGCCTTTTGTGATTTTCCTATTATTTTTTGGTTTCAACGTGCGGGTCCTCATACGAAAGATGGTGATCAGGTGTTTTCTCCACATGTTCGCCTTCTGGAGTGGTGCATAGATTTGTAATCAACGGACCGACGCCAAAACCGAAAAAAAAGGCAACATAGCGTACGCAGTGCACACACTAGCACGAGCAAAACAACACCGACGGGCGCCTTTCAATAACGCGAGGAAGGTCCGCGTTCCATGCAGATACTGTAAACAAGAGACTGTCGACAAAACGCTTGCTCGGGAGGGCACGCGATGATGGGCTCTCTTTTTCTAAAAGGGGGTTGAGGGGTTGTTTTTGGAGGCGCCCGCCATCCAAAGCACGCGAACCCCTGAGGGTATGCCGGGTTTTACTGCACCTCATCGTCGTCCGAGTCCTCGTCTGAATCGTCGGAGTCGTCCTCGGACGATTCCTCAGACTTGGCGGCGGTCTTCGCCTTCGGCTTCTCCTTATCCTCCTCGTCATCGTCAGATTCCTCCTCGGAGGAGTCGTCGCTGTCGCCGTCCGAGCTTTCAGCCTTCTTGTCCGCTTTCTTGGCGGGGGTGGCGGCCTTGGCCTTGGGCTGTAACGGAAAGGCAACAACACAAGGAGGAAGGTTTGGGCGGAAGTTCAGTTCGAGCATCAAGAGCTTGTTGGGGGAACCGGAGATGGGTAAGGTGAACCACCGAACGAGCAAGCGAGAGGTAGAGGGAGGGGGGATACTAACTATACTGGCCTCAAGCAAGCGGCCCTCAATGTGGAAACCGTAGAACACCCAACGCCCCCTTTCCGGACCAAGATTGCAGCGCAAAATAAAGGGGGTTTTAGCGGCACGCTTGCAGCATTCCATTGTGTAGAATTTAGTGTGTCCATGGTAAAACCGAATTACTGTTCATAAAATAGACTTTCGTGCCGCATTCAAAAACCCATCAAATCCTCTTCAATTGTAGGCTTCGTATCGTTTATACTATTTCCTACACTATACATAGACCTCGCGACCAAGATTGACGGGTATTCTTGAGGGTGCTTCCATCATTTCCACTAGTTATGTATGGGACCCTGCAAGCGCGCTAGAAAAAAGCGCCCGAAAATGTAGAAACCCCGGGGATCTGGGCAAAATATCCCCGCCCGGGGACATATAGGGCCCAACGCCCCTCCGCAAGCAAGATTGAAGCCTAGCCCAGGAGTGTTCCGACATTTCCAGATGGAGGACCCCTTGCCTCAACGGTGAAACAGGTAAGCAACGATGTTGTTCATCAGGTGCTACATGGAAGGATTTAAGACAAACCTCCTTTCCGTACATGTTCACAGTATACTCAATACACAACAATAGAGTGCAACCTTTCCGCCGTTTAGAAACATTCTACTGTTGTCAGCAAAGGACACCATGAAGAGGCATCGTTTGTGCTTGTACGTAATGAAATATCGAAGGTCGCAGCAGTCTCTGAAACAGTCCGGATTCTTCGCCGGAACCCTAATGGTTGTCACAGTCATGCCAACCGCCGCGGACTGTAAACCCCTAACCGGCGGGTCTTAGCTATTACTTAGTGGCATCTACCTACTGCAGTGAAGACGGGATTCAAGAGTTAAGGGTCAGTGGGGCCGAGCACAAGCAGTACAAGTGGGTGTCGGTCTAATTTGTGGGCATCATAGGCGGTCAACACGACCTTCGGTATCGCCACCCGAGAGCCACATTTGACCGCGCTAACGCACACACACCGCTATTTCAGAAGTATCGGGTGTCCTTAATGGTGATTTAAGTAGGATGCATGAGATAGAGTGCAACAACTGACGTACCTTCTCCTCTTCTTCGTCCGAAGACTCTTCGTCAGAAGAGGATTCCTCGGATGAGCTTTCCTGCTTCTTCGCAGCGGCGGCGGCCTTCTTCGTCGGGGCGGGGGCGGCCTTCTTTTTCGGGGCGGGAGCGGCCTTCTTGTCCTCCTCGTCATCGTCGCTGTCCTCGCTGTCATCACTGCTGTCGTCATCGCTCGACTCGGCCTTCGCCTTCTTCACGGGTGCCGCTGCCGCTGTCTTGGCCTTGGGCTTCTCCTGGCGTCAATTGTTGGGGTGTAGGCGCCGTGCTCAGCAAACATCGCCATGACAGGGGTGCCGGGACACCACAATGCCCGGCCGCGTTATTTGTTGCCACCATACATCTGACGTTATGCCCAGCAGCGCTTTTTACTTTTACCGTGTACAACCACCCCGGGAGGAATTCTTACGGTACCTTGAAGGGTATAGAAGACGTTTTGCAGCGGTTGTCCTTGACCGCAAAAGACATGACCTCGGAGGGTTCGCGATGTCAAGAAGTGTGCCAAGAGAGGGTAGACGTTTTCGGGCGCTTGTTGGATCCAAGAAGGTCTTGAAGGACGTGGCCTTGAAGGGGTTGAGGCAACCCCTCACGTCCGGTCATTCCGAGGCCATCTCAACACATCATAAACGTCGGGTACCGCATACCTTCTCCCGGTGCGCTTCTAGACATGCTCGACCCCTCGAGGTCACGTCTTTCGCCACAACGAACGAACGCCAGAAACGTCTGCTTTACCATCTTATGGTACACTGCGCTCCTCGACATCGGTAGCCCTGCCGTTGGTATCAAGTGCGGCATGGGCTCGCCGCGCACAGGTACGACTCTACTTCAAACCCTGCGGCTGGCTGACCTACCTCCCCGTATCCTGCGACCACAAGGTCAATCCTGATCACCATGGCAGAGTGCTCAAAGGCATCGCCCTACGATCATCCAAATCTGTAACATGATAGCGCAGCGGTTGTGGTGGTGAGTGGAAACACTTGTCATTTTGGACGGTGTCAGTGCAGTTTACATACTAACCTCCTCTTCCGAAGACTCTTCCTCAGAGGAGCTGTCGTCATCGCTGCTTTCCTCCTCTTTCGCTGCCTTTTTGGCGGCCACAGCCTTGGGCTTTACCTAGAGATGAGAGATTTTCATTCGGCGGCACGAGCAGAGCGGCAGCGGCAAAACAAGGCAAGAGGCAAGTGCGACAATCAACAACGGGGCAGGCAAACAGACAGACAGACACACGTGAGCGACACGCCAGACGATGAACGCTTTCCTGACACAGGAAATCGGGCGAGACGCCTATGAAGCCATTATCGAGAACCAGTGTCGATGACAACCATTCCCGTTGATCGAGCAATACCTAGTTCCCGAAGACAGGGTACGACAATTTTCTTTTTTCCCGATCGATGGGTGGAACGCTATTTGAGGGAAGGGCGCATCCACGTACAAACACGCTCAGATGGCGGAGGAAACAATTCCATCTTCCTCTCATGTACTCCACGCGTATTTTAGGACATACCGACGTGCCGACACTGCTTCCCGTGTACGGAGTCTATTGGACAAAATCCCATCAGTTACACCGCTTCTTCAACACCCCGTTCATCATCGACTGGCTACACAACAGGCTGGGGCAAAAGACCAGAAACGACATCTTCATCTAGCGATGATAAGAGGGGCGGATTCTAGAAGGGCCTGTTCTCCAAGACTCCACGCCGACTTTCGCCTTCAGTGAAGAGGGAGAGAGCACCGGCGGCGGACCATCGACGAGGAAACATGTGTTTTGAGTGGCACACAGTCGACCTGGTGTTTTGAGTGGTGTGAGAGCGTCTCAAACGAGCCCAACAGAGTCAGCTCTAGCATTGCGAGCAACACTGGTGTCGCTGCCGTTCTCCGAGCACACCAACGCTACCAGCGACCATGCCAATCCCTCTCGACTCATTCGCTTCATTTTGTTCAATCGCTCGCTCGCCCTCCTTGTCCGGGTGCTTGTGTTGTGGGGACATCAGGCGGTGGAGTACATACACATGGAGGGGCGGTTTTGGAAATTTGAAAACTGCCCCCGGATCCGTGGTGCATCCTGACGAGCGACCGCCCTCACCTCTTCCTCGCTCTCCTCCTCCGAGGACTCCTCCGACGAGCTGGAAGGCGGCGGCGGCGGGGGTGCCTTCTTCTTGGGCTTCTTGTCCTTCTTCTTCTTCCCCGAGGCCTTGTCAGCCTTAGCAACCTTGGCCACCACGGTCACAGCGGCAACCGGCGCCGCCGCGGCCTTCTTCACCTTCTTGTCCTTCTTCGCCACCTTGTCCGAGGACTTCTTCGACACCTTAGTCTTGCCCATGATTGATAGACGGGCTAAAGGAGCTGGCTGCCTCTCGTTGGGGAGGAGCAGTGGCAGATCTTGGAAGCGAGAGGGTCACAAGCGGCGAGAAAGGAGTGGGCGGAGAGCGGGAGTGCAAGCCCAGGCCCATTCCATGATTCTGCACCAAAACAAAAAAAGAGGGGGTGGCCGGGGTGCATTTGACGGAGCCCCAAACTGTGTTTGTTTGTGTTGCTTCCAGCCACACACTCCTGCAAGCTGTGTGGTTCAGGCTGAACACTGCTGTAGCAGATAGAGAAGGAAAGTACCCTGTAATGCCGTGGAGTCATAGGCCAGCCTCTTGCAAGAAAAACACGAGTTTCCTAAGCTCGACACACAACAAAACTACTTTACTGCTGTAGAAAAGTGGTGTCATCATCTACAGCAGTCTACTGCAATTCTAAAAGGCATCTATTTTTTGGTTTGGATCCCGTGAGGATGTCCAAGCATTAGTTGTTGGAGAACTTTAAAGCAGAACAAAGGGTCTCAAAGAGAAGTGTACGCATGTGCATCGAGGTATTCGATGTGTGTGCAGCCATCGGAAGAACGGGGGCGAGACTACAGCAGTGAATACGAAAAGTCGGTAGAATCATGTGGAGGGTGCGCCATGTCGCTGCATTTCCACCGAGGGCGCCCGGGGAGGGGGAAG